AGAGAAAAAGAATACTTTTTTCTTTGGCATTAATGTTGTGTATGTAGATTGAGTATGTAACTGACAGTAATCTCTCTCTCTCTCTCTCTCTATATATATATATATAGATATATATATATATATATATATATATAGAGAGAGAGAGAGTTAGGTTCAAATGTTTTTAGCATCTATTGTGTGCCTAAATGCACCAATCACAAATCAGCAAATAATTAAATAATTAATTAAATCAAAAAGGGTATTTTGGGTTTTTTGCAACTTGCAATTAATGTGATCATTTAATTAAATCCCTACAATTAAGGAAACAAAATAAATAAGTTTTATAAACCCTAATGACGGCTTCCTCCAAATCATATGTACCTCTTTTCCATCTTCAAAATCCATCATCCACAATCATCATCATCTTGGCTGCTGACCACCACATTCGTGATCTTCATCTCCTAATCTTCGTGCTTCCTTGCCGCCACCGTCGGAAACCCGACAAGTCTTTTCCCTATTTCGACTGTAGCATCTGCTCCGCTTCGTTAAAGATTCGGTGGTCACTCTTTGCGACCACCTTTATTGTTGATCGTGTATCTACAAATGGTTATCTTTCCCCACCGATTTTGGCGCCAAGAAACTAAAGATCGCATCTTCAAATATTGGTTTTCCTTCAACAATCAAATCGATGTAAGGTAAAAATCCTCTATTCTTAATTGTCGATCAACATGAAATTCAATTGAATTATTAAAGATATATATTTAATTTTATGATTTTGTTGATTTTTTTTCTTAAAACTAATGAACGCATAAAAATAAAAGTAATATTTTATCTTCATCATCGAAAACGATTATTGTTTCAAACTTATCTCAGTAAGTTAAGGAAGAGAACGATAAATTATAATAAAATAGAATTAACATAATAGTCAATTTGCTTTAATTTGTTTTCAGTGGGGCTCAATTTCAAACAAACATTAAAATTGTTTTTGTTTGACGATAAGTGGATAGCCGAAATTTGTTTTTGATAGTATGTATATGGTAGTATTTTATAGGTTCAATTTGGTATTATGTGTGTATTATATATATATATATATATATATATATATATATATATATATATATATATATATATATATATATATTTTGTTGTAGCCTTGTAGCTTATTTACTTTAACTACTATTTGAATTCATTTGCTGAACACAGTAGATACAAACATAAAGATGATTTTTTTATGTGGTGATGGTTATGAAACTCATGGGGTTTTTTGGCTTGAATGGGTTCCAGTAAGTTCTTTTGGTATTACCATTGTATTCAAGAAAAATGTTATTGAAAAGGATAGAAATAGAATACAGTAGATACAAACATAAAGATGATTTTCTTTAATTGTCAATTCTCCTCTTCCCATAAACGCAAACATAAAGATCGTTTTGTTTTAAAATTGATGATTCTCATCTTCCATTAACCATTATATTTGCTCTGTGCAGTACCAATCACATGATTGTTCTTCTTCTTCATCCAATTTAACATTCTAAAATTTCATTTTGTATTGATATATAATATTGGTGAGGGGTCATTCTGCCAGAATTGAATCCAGTTCTGTCGGAATGGAATCAAGAATTCCAATTCAGTTGGAATGGAATCATGATATTTCATCACTAATTTGTGCATTTTCTACAATTATTGGTTATGGATTTTGGAGCAATTCACAGGTCTTCATATTTGTAAAAAAGACTTTAGTTTTTTATTTTTCATTTGCTAATGTGTTATTGGGTTCTAAATCATAATTGGATTTCGTTTCACAGATACTTGAAGAACGGACTGCAAAATTGAAAGTGATTCTCATCAACAATATTCTTTTAGAATGTATTAGTGTCTTTTGTTAGATTTTATTGTTTTTTTTTATCAATTTTTAACCGTTCTTAGTTTTATTTTTTAACAATAAATGTAATTCTTAGCAATTGTTACCTATATTCGTTAAGAATTAGTGTAATTTTTTGTTTTTATTCTTCAATTGATGGTTCAAAAATTTGTTATTTTTCAATAAGTTCATTCCATCAAAATATGTATTCTGTCAGAATACTTATTATTTTATGGTTCAAGAATGTTTCAAGATATTCATAAACGTATTCTGTTAGAATGACCTGATTTAAAAGAATGTTTCAAAATATGAATTGATATTCATTCTATAGGAATATGTATTCTAGCATTCAATATGTATTCTGGCATTCTCATAGAATTTATCATTTTAACAAAAATATCATTCTGACAGAATGTATTCAGTTATTATAAAAAATACATTAGAATTAAATCAATTAATATTTAATTACTTTAAAAAATTCAGAATTTTAAAATTAGAAGAATTAATTATCCCTAAATTCTCGAAAATTTCCTTTTTTAAATATAGTTAATTGTCCAAAATACCCTTATGCTGAAAATTATGTGATTATATGGTACACGCTACCTTACTATAATATCATAGACTCTTAGATCAGAACCATTGATTATATTTCTCCGATGGTCCAGATCTGTGCATTCTGGTACACAATAGTTAGCAAAAACAAAATAACCTAAGCCTATATATATATATATATATATATATATATATATATATATATATATATATATATATATATATATATATATATATATATATATATATATTGAACCCATTTCATTACATCATTAACCATCATGAAGTATTTGGAATACAACCCTTTCGAACAGAACTTTATTATCTATTTGCATGTATAGTTAATAAATTCCTTTAATTTTCTCATCTTTTTGGCTCTCCATTAAAACTAATGTCATATGAAGTAGGGTTTTCTTCTTTTTCTTCTTCTTCTTCTTTATTCCTAATGTTTGGTTTCTTTTACAAAATTTCCTGATTTCTATTTTTAAATTTCAATTCAGATTCTTGATTATCTTGGTAACTCTCCTGATGCTGATGCACTAGTACAAAAATAAGTTATGGTCACACCAAAAAACTGTGACCATATGCTTATAGACACACCATTTTTTTTCATCGGAAGTGTCACCGAAGGTCGTGCTAACTCACCAGCTGGATATATTTCTAGTAGATCCAGGTGATGACGCAACATTTACCTGGGTTAACTTAACTATTCGTCTAGTTAAGATTAAATCATTATCTGATTCGGTTTTGTTTGAATTTCGTGTTTGTTCAATAGCTGAAATACATTGATCTATCTGATTTTGACTTTGTATCACATGTATCCAAAATACGAGTTCAGGTAACAACTTTATTTTAATATACCTTAGATGTTATTCAATTTGGCTAGAAAGGGTAAATTAGGAAATAAAATAAATAAAGAGCAATCTATTAGTGGGAGGGTATTTTGGGTATAAATGTTAGTTAGTTTATTGCAACAATGCTTATAAGAGGGTATGTAGCATCATCATCTATCATGTGATAAATCTAATATTTCATACATTAGGAGAGGCTAGGCTCTCAAATCACTAGCAAATTACAAGTTTTATCTTGTTATTTTGAGTCTTATCAATACATCAGTGAAGTATTGGTTTTCTATTTCTGTTTTGATCTCATATACTAAATCAATTCATAGTATGCAGGGGCCTGTATGTCGTTGCATATCATGAAATTCATAGTTATCATGTCTATTTGGTATTTGTTTCCATACTTTGTCGGTTGTGGCGATACTTAGTAAAACAAAACTTTGATTTTCTACAGGAACATTTGAATTCAGTAGCACCAAATCATGAGAGTTATTAATTTATTATTGCACCCACCCTACCCTTCATGGCATGGTATATTCAAAAATTTTGTGATTATTTATAGAAAAATATGCTAGAATCTTACATAACCAAACAACAACCAAGTAATGAAAAGAAATTAAGAGGTTGTTCCTTTTTAACTTAATGGGCTTAATCAAGCAACAACCAACCAGATCTGCTATAATCTTATTTATTACACCAACCTACCATTTTGTATGCAAGTATCTTATTTGGTTGTGGTGTTTTATGTTTTAGGAAAGTGTGGTGTTCAAGGATCAAATTAAAGTTCTTTTGAGGGATATGCATGAACATCAGAAAGAGTATGATGAAATGAACCAATAAGTGCAAAAGTTGAATCAGTGCTTATCCCAATATCAACAACAAATCATGAAACTTGAGGTTATAATTTTGTCTTCCTTATTTTAACATTTCAATTCTTTATAAAGGGGAGAAAACTCAGAAAATATGACAATGTTGATACAGTTAGGAAACTAATCAAAGTTTTCTTAGATTAAGTCTCCTTATTATCCAATAATATAATTTTTAAGGTGGATGTATGAGATGTAATATTATAACTTTTTTGGCTTAAAAGAGTCAATATTTGATATTTGAAGGTCAAATGCGTAACATTGTAACAAGTAACTGAACTTGCTCCAGATTGATGCTGCTAAGCCTGTTGGAGAAGTTTTTGAACCAGTTAAGGCCCTTTTCACCCCATTGGTTGAATAGGTAAAACAAGTTATGTCCAATATTTACTAAAATATCCCTATATGTCTTGCATGTTGTTGGTCGGATATTATAAATTACTGTAACATCTTCAGTCTCATGTTTAAGTAGGTAAAATTACAATAAAACCTGACATTTTCATTTGTGTATTTTACAGGGAATTGCTAATATTGGCTCTATGAGGTTTTTCCAAATAACATGAAGTATGAAGTTTTGGGAAGAAGTTCAATTACAATAAAGTTTAAATTTTATTCTTGTTGTTTCGTTATATTTTATATTTAGAGTTTATGTGTTCCACATTTAAACATATTTGACATTGATGCAAAAATAAAATGAAATTTTAATTAATTTCCCTGGATTATAATTAATTAGCTTCTTTTTATTTTATATTATAGCTAAAAAATGTGTCGCTAAAAATATATATATATATATATATATATATATATATATATATATATATATATATATATATATATATATATATATATATATATATATATATATAAAATTTAGAAGTAATATTATAAACTAAATTCTCCCTAATATAAAAACCGGAGTCGTGTACGTGTAACCCTACAATCGAAAAACCTGGAAAACCCTAATGCGCGACATTACAGATTTTGATTCTTTTCCACGCACAGTCTTTCACGTACAATGGGGGAATCGGACGCTAAGTATGCTGGCGTCTCAATTGACAACTCTGCGTCGGAGTCAGAGGTTCTAAGCAAGAAGTAAGCTTTCATATCCGCTGCAAGGGTTTGCTATTATAATATGTGCTAGAGATTCCAAGGTTTAATATTTTGTGTTTGATTTTGTCGAAGTGCTCTAAAGAAGGAGCTGAAGAACAAACAGAAGGAGGAAAAGAGGCGTCTTAAGGAAGAGGAGAAGGAGAAAAAGGTGAATTAATTAAGCTTTTTGTATTCTAAAAGCTTGGGTTTAGTTTTACGAGTCATGATTTGTAATCTTAATTTGAAAATTCTAGATCATGTGACATGTCACTGTGCTTTTTAATTAGTTCTTACAGCCAAAATCAGCAGTCCGAAATCAGTCCGCTGCAGATGATGAAGACACAGATCCAACAGTATGATTATTTTCTTAATTATTAATTTATTATGTAAGCTGCATATTCTCTTTACGCGACTATGATATACACATCTCTTGTTTGGTTGCAGCAATATTATGAAAACCGCCTGAAAACACTTGCTGCTCAAAAGGCAGCAGGATTGAACACCTACCCTCACAAATTCCATGTCTCCATGTCCATTATTGAATACGTAAAGAAATATGAAAGCTTAAACAGTGGAGATCATTTGGAGGATATTCAAGTATCTTTAGCTGGTTAGTCCATCATTAACATATATATATATATATATATATATATATATATATATATATATATATATATATATATATTTGCACCCTTACTCCTTCCAGGGCGAGTTATGAGCAAACGGTCTTCTGGATCAACACTCTTCTTTTATGATCTTCATGGTAATGGTGGAAAAGTGCAAGTTATGGCTGATGCAAGGTAAATATAAAATATTGACCTTTATTTTTATTTTTATTTTCAACTCTAAAATCTATCTTTTTTTTTTCTTCTTTTTTTCTTAGGAGATCTGATTTGGATGGAGCTGAATTCTCCAAGTACCATTCTGGTGTGAAACGTGGAGATATAGTTGGTATTGTTGGGTTTCCAGGTGCGTAGTTTTGTTTTCTTTAGATTTATTTTTTTATTTTTTATTTTATTTTTCTTAAAGTTTTGTTTATAACAGGAAAAAGCAACAGGGGAGAGCTGAGTGTGTTCCCAAAAACATTCAAGGTGTTAACTCATTGTCTTCATATGGTGCCAAAGCCAAACGCCAATGTGAAGGTAAAAGTTTGTTAGTGTTAAATATTAATATTGACGTATTTACCCCTAATGGTTTGGTTTGTTACAGAAAACCGAAGCTTGGACTCCAGGAAGTGGCAGAAATCCTGATGCATATATACTAAAAGATCAGGTATTCAATATCATTATTTGCATGTGAATATGATTTTTCATTTAATTTATTTTTTTTATTCTAGGAAACACGATACCGCAAACGTTTTATGGATCTGATGCTAAATTCAGAAGTGACACGAATATTCCAGACACGTGGAAAAATCGTATCTTACATCAGACGTTTTCTTGAGAATCTTGATTTCCAGGAGGTAAATTATTAAAGTAAATCACTTTTACTTTTGTTAATGGCTAATAATAATTATTTGTTGTTATTGTTATTGAAGGTTGAAACTCCGATGATGAACATGATTGCGGGTGGGGCAGCAGCCCGCCCGTTTGTGACCCATCACAATGATTTGAATATGAGGCTGTTTATGCGAATTGCCCCTGAACTTCATCTAAAGCAGCTTGTTGTTGGTGGAATGGAGCGTGTATTTGAGATTGGAAAACAGTTTAGGAATGAAGGGATTGATTTGACACAGAGATAACTGAAGAATTGTTAAGTGGTAATTAAGCTTGTATATTTTTATTCTGTGTTTAGTCCAAAAACTGATTTGATTCTTGAATCAAGGTTTCTTATCGATTTTGGTCCTTATTCCAAAGTTCCAAAATCGAAATATTAAAAAAGGGGGTTTCAGTTTTGGATTTTTTTTTCTTTTTAATATTTGCTAAGATATAATGAATCAGGCATGGTGAAGGAGCTAACAGGTGGCTACAAAATTAAATATCATGCCAATGGGTTGGATAATGATCCCGTTGAAATCGACTTTACCCCTCCTTTCAGGTCAATATCTTACTAGCTATATAATTGGTTTTAGACAAAATTACACAGATGGTCCATGTGGTTGGCACGAGAGACCAAAGATAGTCCTTATGAGGAATTTTGGACGAGTATGGTCCCTGTGGTTCCAAATTGTTGCACGAATAGTCCTTATGACATACTCCGTTTAATTGTTGTCGTTTATCTAAATCACGTGACCCTCACACGAGGGTATTTTCGTCATTTGCTTATCCCTTCTCTCTCATGATCTGCAAAAGATAGTCCCTTTCCCTATAAAAATTAAACCCCCATCACTTCCTTCTTTATTTATCGTCTCCTCTATTCTCTCTTCTCTCTTCTGTGTGTTTGTAAGAAAATTTGCATAAGAATGGTAAATTGTTTTTGTGGAAGGCAAGCGGTGATAGTGACATCATGGACGGATCTCAACCCAGGGCGTAGGTTTTGGAAATGTCCTAGTAGTTGCGGTTTCATTGCATGGTTTGATGAGCCCATGTGTCGAAGGGCTGTGGCTGTCATTCCATGTTTGCTAAGATCCAAGAACAAGCTTCAAGAATCTCTGCTGCAAGCAAGTTTTGAAGCAAAAAAAGTGAAGATGATGCTAGTTTTTAGTTGGGTTTTCTTTTTCATGTATGTGTACAAAAGATGCTAATAGTATTAGTCTGGAGATGATGGTTCTTTTGCTTGTGGGTAGATAGATGATGGTTCTTTTGCTTGTGGGTAGAATCAGATAGTACTATTAATTTGAAGATGATTTCGTTTTTTTGTTTGTGATGTAAGAAATGTTCGTATGTATGAATGGAATGCTTTTTATTTGGGAAACTTTTAGTCTGCAACTATTGAAAAATATTGGTCTGGAACGTAATGAGTGTAAAATATTGGTTTGCAACTTAATGAACTATCCAGATCCATTAAAGTATAAAAAATGAAAGTGAAAGGTTTTTATAGGGTTTAGACCATTGTAGTATAATGTGTGAACCATTGTAAAGCCATAACAACATTAGAAATGTTCAAAAATAAAATGCAAACTTTTGCATAGTCATAAAGTTCATTACATAACCTTAAAGTGCAAAGTCATAATACCAAAAAAATATCAAAAGAGCTTGCAGACTAATGTATCATAACCAAAAGAACCATCTTAGTCTAGCACCCTGTGTGAACCATAATACCAACAAAAGATAAAGACACACAATAACCAACTTAGTCTGACCTTTCTAAGGTACCAAAACAAACAACACAAAAGACCTTTCTAAGGTTCCATAACAAACAACACAAAAGACAACAAATCAAACTTTTTCCTTCATTTTGGATTTATCCTTAAGTTTGGTTTTCTCTTTCATTTTGGATTTCTCCTTTTTTCCATCTCCCTGCTTCTTTGCCTTGCTAAGCTTCTTGCCCCCTGCCACCACATTTCTAACTTCAGTTTGTCCCCCTTGTCCCTTGCAACTCCTAGAGTTGTGACCCTTGTTCTTGCATTTGCTACAAGTAACTGTAAGGAACTTCCTGGTCAAACTTTTACCTTGATTATTTGGTTCTTCAGTTTGAGCTCTCTTTCTCTTCTTTTTTGGTCTGCCTACCTGCATAATTAATAAATTATAAAACAATATAAACGTATACTAACTTGTAAATTGAAAATTATTTACCTGTTTAGTATGTTTGGGGGGTGTTAGTATTGTGGGGCAATCTGACTTTGGCCACATACTTCTTCCATTGATTGGTTGAACTTTGTACTTGTACATTTCATTCCATGTGCTTAACCTATAACATGGATGTACCCACTCCTCAAGAGGTGGGACATTTTTTGCCCCATGCTCAACCTTATCCCAAATGGCACTAACAAGATGAGAGCATGGTATCCCAGTGATCTCTGTATGCCTGCAACTACAGTTCCTGTCCCTCCAATTAACCACAAATTGTTCCCCCATTGTCCCAGTAACTTGAGTCTTCTCAGCACCATTAAATATGCAAGTGTATTGAGAAGCATGTTTCTTAACTCCATCTAAAAGTTTTGTGGCTGTTGGGGTAAGAGGCCCTTGAGACTTATCTATCACATTTTGCACAATACAAATTCGTTTCATTAAGTATTCCCTAATATATTCTAAACATGTAATTATAGGTTTGTCTCGAGCATCTAACAACTTTGAGTTGAAAACTTCACATAAATTATTCAACAAAATATTTGTATGTGCTCTTCCTGTACAATGCAACAAAATATCTTATAAGAATCTGTCAAAGTGTAAATCTTCCTTGAATCTGTCAAGGTGTCTAACTGTTATATAAGGGTAAATATACCTGAAATATGTGCTCTGGCCCAATGTTTGGGTGGAATTTTCTTTAACCAATCACATGCCTTTGAATTGAACTTGTTAAAATCTTCCATGAATCTGTCAAAGTGTCTAACTGTTGTTGTTGTTGCACATTCCCATAAATGATCTCTGTGCTCCTTCCCCCTCCATTGTAGCTTCATGTTTTCGTGAATATGTCTTAAACAAAACCTGTGTTCAGCGCTAGGGAATAGGTTGGCAATGGCAGGTAAAATCCCCTAATAAACAAGTAACAAAAATGTTATTTTTTAAAGGTAGCAGACAAAATTACACAGATGTCATGAACAAGTATCATAAGAAGACTAACCTTTTGCCTGTCAGAAATAAATGTGAAGTTTGAATTTGTAGACAGCTCCAAATCTTCACCTAGACACTCTAGAAACCAACTCCATGAGCTTATGTTCTCGGCTTCAACTATGGCATATGCTAGTGGGTAGATCCCATTATTGGAATCAAGACCCACAACAGTGAGAACCTGTCCAGGGTAAGGTCCCTTCATGAAAGCCCCATCGAATCCTAAGAAATCTCTTAAACCTGCCTTAAAACCCAGTTTTAATGCACCTAAACAGACATAAATTCTCTTAAACATCCTAGTTTCCAAGTTTGCATTTGGTTCACTGTATACATCAATCTTCACAGTTGTTCCTGGGTTGCACTGTTGTAATTCTAGTACATAATCCCTGAGAAGGCTGTATTGCTTTTCATAATCTCCGTGAACATGTTTCTGAGCAAGTTGTTTAGCCCTAAAGACCTTCATTCTTGACATCCCCACCTCGTATGTCTTTTGTAACTCTACACGCAAAGCTTTGACTGGGATAGTTGGGTTTCCTTCCACTTGTTGAAGAATGGTGGTTGCAAGAAACTTAGAAGTACACGCTTTAATAGATCTTGACTGCACACATCTATGCTCATGAACCAAAGTTTTCACCATCCAATTGCTTTCTTCATCAGATCTAGAAATTAATACCACCCAAGGGCATGTTGTTTTTTGTGAACTGACTGTTTTGTCCTTGCATTTGATTCTACTTTTTGTCCATGGCCCACCTGTCATTTCTAGGACCACACCCCTGCATTTTGCCCTAATTCTTTGTTTATCATTTTTTGCAAAATAAATGTTTCTCCTAGTTCGAATTGAATGCATTTTAATGTAGTCCTTCGCTTCTGATGAGGACTTAAATATTTGACCCAGATAGGATGCAGTTTCATGTATTACTCCTGATGAACACGTGGTTGGTTTGTTTAACCTTCTCATTAACTTCTTCCTCTCATCTTCTTCTACACCAGCTGATTCAAACAACTGTGTATCTATCACCTCCAAATCGTCATCAACTGTGACATCAGGTGCATTGAATGATTGGTGGTTATCTAGATTTGGAAAAGAATAAACACCACTGTGGAAGTCTTTCATATTCACTTCGACATCCTCCACCATATTAAGTTCATCCACTAAAAAGTCACTATCCTCGCTTATACTTCCATTGGTACTAGTCTCATCACTAATAGCATCTCCAATTTCTTCATTGTCCCCCATCTGTTGGTAATCATCGTCCCCCATCTGTTGGTAATCATTATGATCCATATAAAAGAAAGGATCAAAGTCTTCTGAAGGTCCAACATCTTGGGCTTTGTTAAGCTCCTCACTTGCAGGCTGAACTCCAACATCTTTCAATACATCTCTATCAAAATGTCCAAAAGGTACAACAGACCTAGAAAAGTCATAGTTCTCATTCAAGTCCAATTTTCTACTACATGATCCTACCTCTGTACTTGTAAACTTTTTTCGATTGAGTTCCGGAGAAATAGGCTCATTGATTTCTTCCAATACGACCTTATTTGGAGACATAAAGTATGTATGGAGTCGAGTAGTTCCATGTTCAGTATACACTATAATCTCTTTATGATTAGCGACATGCTTACTTAACAAAAGTACGTCTGAGTCATTACCTAAAGGAAGTAACCCATAATCGATTTCAATCTCTGGAATCAAGAAGTGGTAGTAGATAGGCTCACCGTTGATATAACCTATCTCCTTCATCATATCGTCTAACTCATGTACGGAGAACACGTCCATGTCTACGTAGTCAACATAGTCAATACTCCCACCAACGTAACGTCTTCCTGGGTATTTTGTGAACATACCCCCATGGTGAATCTTGAATGTGCAAAAACTACTTAACTCAACTGAAAAACAAATAAATAATGATATGAGGAAAGAATGAAGTCTCAAAATTGAATGTGCATAAATTACTTAACAAAATTGGAAGTTGTTAACTGATCACTCACCATAAGCTTTGATCAGGTCAGGATTTTCTGAGAATTTTGAACGGACATTCCACAAAGTTAGAACCATCGCAAATGATGAAGATGAAAACCCTAGTTTCCGTTTGATGTTTTGCAGTGACGAAGATGATAAACCAGAGGAGAAAAGAAAGGGACGATTTCTTGGGGCAACGTAAATGGCAGCTGGATGTAAGGATCATTTATGTATATGATCATTTCGTGTAACAAAGCAAAAGACGAAAATACCCTCGTGTGAGGGTCACGTGATTTAGATAAACGGCAACAATTAAACGGAGTATGTCATAAGGACTATTCGTGCAACAATTTGGAACCACAAGGACCATACTCGTCCAAAATTCCTCATAAGGACTATCTTTGGTCTCTCGTGCCAACCACGGGGACCATCTGTGTAATTTTGTCTTGGTTTTATTTATTTGATTTATTTATGTTACAACATTCTACATTGGAAAAATCTGTTTAACTATAGGAAGTCCATCATCTAATGTGATTTTTCTAACATGATTGAAATTTTTCAGAAGGATTGACATGATTGGAGAGTTGGAGAAGATAGCTAATCTTAGCATACCCAAAGATCTAGAGAGTGATGAAGCCAATAAATATCTAGCTGATGCATGCACAAAATTTGAAATCAAATGTCCCCCACCCCAAACAACCGCACGTTTGTTAGACAAAGTAATAAATAATCCAAATCCATTTTACAAATTGCTAAATTAATGCGGATTGTAACTTTTTAATTAAACTGTTTGATGTGTCAGTTGGTGGGACACTTTTTGGAGGAGACATGTGTGAATCCTTGTTTCATAATCGACCATCCTGAAATCATGAGTACTTTGGCCAAGTCCCACAGATCCAAACCAGGTTTGACTGAACGTTTCGAGTCGTTCATCAACAAGCATGAGGTATGTGATATGTGTATGTGTATGTGTATGTTTATGTGTATGTGTATGTGTATGTATGAATTCTTTTTTTTTTTGTACATTAATTATTTTTATCTTTTGTTTCTGATTTTGTTAGCTTGCCAATGCGTACACTGAACTGAATGATCCAGTGGTACAGCGCCAACGATTTCAAGATCAGTTAAAGGTAATCAATCAATGTTGTGGTGTTTGTGTTTCTTTATTAATTGTTTTAAATTTTAAATAAATGTGTTTAGGATCGACAATCGGGGGATGATGAAGCAATGGCTTTAGATGAGGAATTCTGTACGGCTCTTGAATACGGGTTGCCGCCAACTGCCGGTTGGGGATTGGGTGTTGACCGCCTTGCTATGCTGTTGACCGATTCACAGAACATCAAGGTTGGTTTGTGCATGCCATTCGTCACTCTTACTTTTTTTCTTTTCCATTTTTGAATTTTGTTAATGTTTGGGGGAAAAACAACAGGAAGTTATACTTTTCCCGGCAATGAAACCACAGGATGAAAGGTACATTTGTTGTCTTAATATTTTTTGTTTGTTGGGATATATGTATGTTGCATACAAACTGATGAAAATAATTATATGCAGCCGCCTGCCTGCAAGGGATGCTGAAAAGTTGAGCTCATAATGTACACATCTTGAAGCTCTTATATTTTTATGGAAAGAATTTTGGGTTAATGACTTAGAAGGGTAACATAGTTTAGGTTGTGCTCACGTTTAGTCCTTGAAGTTATTTTTTGTTCATATATTACCACTGAACTTATTTGGATTGTTCATATTGCATCAGTATTATTGGTTGGTGTAGGTAACGTAGTTTAGGTTTTGTTCACATTTAGTCTCTTAAGTTTTTTTGTCTACATATTAGCATTGGACTTTTTTTGATTGTTCACATTAAATCATTATAAACTTATTTAGGGAGTTGGTATTATGTTCTTATGACCTTGAACCATTTTTCAACTAACCTTTATGAGAAGTGTTTATGTTTGAGCTTGAAACTATTCAATCTTTCATTTTCTTTAAATTGTCATAACTCATTTGTTTGAAGTTGGAATGTCATAATCTTTTTCAACACATAGTTTTATGTGTATATTTCATTTTAGAATTTAGAATATATAAACACCTTATTTGGTTACATATTGATTGGGTTATGGGTCTCGAAACATAGGGTATTAAAGCTGAATTTATGTTATTTCAGCATTGAGTTTACTATTTCTACTTCATTTTAGACTATATAAACACCTTATTTATTTATATATTGGGTTAATTTTTGTTTGTTGGTTTGGTATTATTCTAATCACTTGGCCTAAAATCATTAATTAGTTGTAGCAACCGCATAAGAACATGTGCCGATTCTAACTGGGTATTGAATCGAAAATTAGCATCGACACCGAAATCGATATAGTCAAACAGGCCAAGTTCTCGGTTCTCATTATTAGTCTAGCATGTTTTGGTTCCAAATCGGTTTCAGTCCGAATTGAGTTCGGATTGGTTGCTCATCTCAGTTCCAACTAAGCACCATAGGCTTAGTCAACCTTTATCTGACCAACTACCAAATACCATGCAGACTCATCAAACAACGCAATCGGTCCTAAAATGATCAAGGCATTTCTCTAGTGATGTGAATAAACAATTGTTGAAAGGTTTAATGACTTATAAATGTAATATAGTTTAGTTTTTGTTCACATTTGGTTCCTTTTGTTTTTTGTCATTATAATACCATTAAATTTGTTTGGACCGTTCACATTACAACCTTATGACCGGCTAAAGCCTACAATAACCGATCATAATGATGTAATGTAAATAGTCCAAACAAGTTTAATGGTAATATGTTGACAAAAAATAACTTCAAGGACTAAATGTGAATACAACCTAAACTATCAGGTGAGTTTCATCACTTATTCTTACTTGTGTAGTAGAATAGTTGTATATTTTTACATTTGATGACAAGCTGGGTCTGAGTGTTGTTCATGTGTATGTGCTGATTATATATGTTGAGACTGACAAGCTGTATCTAAGTGGTGTTACTATGTATGTGATGATTATATGTGTTGAGACTTCGGGTAGTCTCTAGGGTTGCTGATAACCTATAGGATGTGTTGTTTGTGCACTGAGACTTCAGGTGGTCTCCACTGTTGCCGATAACTCATAGCTGTTTATTTGTGTTGTGTGTGGTATTTTGGGGAACTCACTAAGCTTTGTGCTTACAGTTGTTGTTTATATGTGGTGCAGGTACTTCTGAGGATCGCGGGAAAGCGAAGGTCTGATGTACACACTCGTTGGGAGATTTTGTTACTGGGCATTTTGTGGCTCTCTGATATTTGTAGTGATGATTTGTATTTGATACTTGTGATTTTTTGATGGTTTGGTTTATGAACAATATTTTGGGTAATTTGAAAATGAAAATTTTGGTTTGAAATTTGAAGCGTTACATTTTTAACACTGAAAATTTGATAATTCTAGTATTAAAACATTGAAATAAAATTCATACAACCAGATTACACTTACAATAACAATTTGAAATCTTATCTTCATTTCAACACACAAATATGATATACTTTAAACATTATTATCCATGAAAATTCACAAAAAAACAAAAATTCAAAATGTGTATTATATGAAACACTTTAAACATCAAGATCAAAATGGTGCATGAAGGAGAAACTTCTTCACCTAACTTGGTAATTCTTTATTATGAGAAATTAGAAAATGGATCCATGTCTGCCATTCTTTATAGTTGATATTTACAAAATAAGCTTCTCTATAGTAAAGCAACAACATGCACTAATAGTATTATACCAAAAATATCAGTAAGCTTATACCTAAACTTACAGTTGCAACAAGGTCAACATGAAAATTAGTTTCAATCACTTACAACAACAATTTGAAATCTCATCTTCATTTTAGCACACAAATATGATATTTTTCAACATACACTTCTAACACACAAATCGATAACCACTTCAGCACACAAGAATCAGAAAAGAAAAGAAAAAATAATTCAGAAATCAACAACATCAAGAAACACATTACCAAATCAGAAAAATATATGAAAGGTGAAGTAAATCAGCAAAATCGATTAGAAGTGGAAAATAATTTAACCAAAAAATCGATTTTAGCATACCAGAAAATTGATTAAAATTGATTTCATGTTCAGCAAATCAATTTCAGTTCAGAAAAATGATTTCACTGATTTTAAACAACTAAAAACAAGAATCGAGGAACATACCTATCGTTGGTCAACGATCTGAAGGGTTCGATTGGGCACCGATGAGAAGAGGGTTACACTGACGAAGGGCTAAGGGCGGTGACGAGTTGAGGCCAACAATCAGAAGTAGTGGAGAAGGAGGAATGATGGTTGAAGGAAGAGGGTAGAGAAAGCGGTGTTGTGCAAGACGCCAGCCAGAAGGGTGTCAGTGACGACGAGGGCGGACCTGTAAGCTGCGAGTGATGGCGACCGGCGACTAGTGACTTGTAAGCTCTGATCTCTTACGATTCGATAGGAATGGAAGAACGATGAGAGTTGTTTAAGAGCAACGTTTTCTTTTTACTGTTTTATGTCCCGTTCTTTTTTTTAGGTTTTGGTCATGAAGAGGTTAGAAGTGGCAAACCCAATGCTATATGGGGTACAGGATGGAAAGAGGTTTTTGAGTCCGAAGTCGTTTAAAAAACAAACGACTGCGAAATAAAAAATGTTGTTTATATAGTACACAAAAATAAATGGTAAGAAGAGGTGTTTTTTTTACAAAAAAGAAAAATTAAATTGTTTCCTACCTATTATGCTTACAAATATTCCTACATGCTATCTTATTAAAAGTACTAGGTTATAACCTGTGGAACCACGGGTAGTATGTTTAAAATATTTATATGGACAAAAAAGAATATTAAATGTTGATAGAAGGGTTCCAAAAAAGAAATTCAAACCTAAAAAATGATAGATAAGGGGTAGAGAAACCAAAATTGTATTTCAACAATCCAATTACATATCAAAATCTCCATTGTTGCCCTCCATTTGATGTTTCTTCCTTCATTAGACATGTCTCACATTCCCCCTTTCCTATATATATATATATATATATATATATATATATATATATATATATATATATTCAAAACAAAAAATTAATAAATAATGTTGAAAACCAATTTGAAAGTTTATATAATAGTTATTTTTTCTATATTAACTCATTACCTTTCTTCTTTTTGCCACCTCCTTTCTTTTTTGTCTTCACAAGTAAATCTAATCATGCTTTGATTTCAGGGTCATCAAGCATTTTAGTTGGTTGCAACTCTTAAAGTGTATGAGAGGTTATTCGATCGGATCCATTTTGCATCTAAAGAACTATAAATCTTATATGCACCACAAAATCATGACACCGTGGATAAAAATTGAACTTTTGCCCCTCCAAAGAAAAAGTAAGAAAAGTCATAAATGCCTTTATAATTGGGGTTAACTATGGGGTAAAGTTTGATGAATTATTTTACCAAGATTTTCATGAAGAATAAGGTGTGGTTGTAAAAGCTCATGATTAACATATTCACCACTAACCCCAACCCTAACGAAGCGTATTTTTCTTCCAAAGCTATATCACCAACACAAATAAATTGTGAAAAATGCCCTCACTTATTATAACTATATATAATTTTTTTTATTCATTTCAATGAAGGTAATTTGGTCTTCTAATAAATAAGAAAATATAGAAATTGGATTCTTTTATTTTCCACTAAGAATGGTGAACTCCATCAAGCAAAGATTAATTTGCAAGTAAAGATGTCATGGAATGGAATCTTGAATTCCAATTTCTTCCGAAGCAAAAATAACTATGCCATCTACTGTGCTTGTGACTATATCAATTAGATAAACTTCATTATCCTCAATCTCTGCATTACCCACTCTTGTTTCTAGATTTGAAGCACTTATCTATCTAAATCATTATCTACTTCCTCTCCAATACATAACTAGATTTGGAACTTGTACATATCAATATAAAATACATGTAAACATACTTTTGCAAAGAAATAAAGAAATAGTAATCAAGTATTAGAATAGGCTTCAACTTTCATTTATATAAAAGAAAGAAAAATTTATTAATTCACCTAATGAAAATATTTGGATGACCAAATTTATAAAAAACAAATCCACTTTCACACACACACACACAGACACACACACACACACACACACACATATATATATATATATATATATATATATATATATATATATTGTTATACTTCAAAAAGCTAAATTTACATAATAAAATTGATTTTTTGAATAGTCCTCTACTACCCTAAATATGTGATCAATAAGATCATATGATTAGGAATGAACATTTTCCGCAAGGGAACTTCATTTAGAGCAATTCTAAGAGATTTAGTAGAGAAAGGTACATGCAAGAAGATTAAAATTGACTTTCTTATTCTTTTGTTAAAAAAGGCAATACATTTTATTACTCAGTATATTTTTTTCAAGTTCCTCGTCTCACCATCTTTCAACACATCAGAAAAATTAAAGATTAAATAAATCTCAAGAAATAAACTTTTTAAACTAAGAAACAATCAGCAATCCCTACCCAACAATTGGCCTATATGGACTCACATTTCCCTCTTAAATTAGTAAATGGGTAAAGA